AAGAAGGAGATTAGTGCTTCAACCACTGAAGTGCCCACAATATCCCAGAAAGCTTTAAAGAACTTCCCTGTGAAGCCATCCAATCCCGGGGCCTATTTCGAACCCATGAAAAATACCGTACCGCCATCAATTGAGCATTCATTTGTGGAGTAACACTATGGGCAATCGGCAGAGTCGCCACCCTCTCAGCCATATTAGGAACCTGTGTTTCCGAGGTAAACAAGGTCTGGTAAAAATTGGTGGCAATAGAAGCCTTTCCGGTTTCCGCAGTGACCCATTCACCCTCCTCATTTCGAAGCCCAGAAACGAAATTTCTCTTCCGCCGAGCCCTTGTGATCGTATGGAAGTAGGCAGAATTTTGATCTCCTTTTTTTAACCATTTAACTCTGGATTTTTGCTGCCAAAATACCTCCTCCGCTTCCCACTGCCGGGAGAGCTCCGTTTCCAGGGTCCTGATCTCGTCCCAATCCACCGGATGGATCAATTATATCATACCAATCTCAGCTTGGAGCGTCTTGATATTGCACAGGAAATTAGTTGTGTCCGCCCTACTCCAATCATATAGCAGATGACGGAGTTTCTTTAGGCGTTCCCACAGTCGAAACATAGGGGTGCCTTGGACCTCCTCCTGCCATACATAGTTGACCATGGCCCTCACCTCCGGATTATCCGCCCAACGGGCATCAAAACGGAAAAGAGGCTGACTAGTACGAACATATGGTTTATCAACAAGGAGAAGGGCACGATGGTCTGATCCCTGGTCCGTGAAGTATAGAGTCTCCGGGTATGTATCCATCCAGGACTGAGAGCAAATCTCTCTATCCAGACGTGCACGAATGCAAGCATCGCCCATGCGCTTATTAGTCCAAGTAAACTGATCTCCTTGGTAACCAGGGTCGTGGAGACCCAAATCATGAACAAATTCGCAAAGACTAAAGGCCTGGGCAACATTCCACTCCCCCCCCCCCCAATCTTTTTCACTCTCATGCAGAGTAGCATCGAAATCACCTATGATCACATAAGGGTGATTGATACTCGCACTAACGTTTCGCAATTGAGCCAATTGGGTAGCTCGAACAGCAACATTATAACTAATATAAACAAAGATCGCAACATAAGAAAAATCTCATTCCTTAATTTGCGAACAAATATAGAAATTTGAATGACAAAACACCGAAGTGTCAACCCCGGGGGCCCAAGCGACTACTAAACCTCCCGATGCATCGACTGCATCAACAAAAAAATAATGCAAAAGAGGAAAACCTAAACCCCGCATACGACGGAACACTACACGCCGGCTCAATCGCGTTTTCGAAAAAAATACGAGATCCGGTTTATTAGAATGAACCAGCCCTACAGCAGTTTGGAAAGTGAGGGATGGCCCGATTCCTCTCACATTCCAGGCCAGAATCCACATTTATCGACTGGGGGCCACTCGAGGCTGGCTTCCTCCACCTTCTCCAGAACATCAGTTGATTCCACAAATTGCTTCTTCGGGGTAGGGGGATCACCCACCTCCCCATCCAACTCATCGAGCACACGCTTCCGGGTCTCCACAGATGGGTCCATGAGATTAGACCCATATTCATTGAAAGTCGAGCGAGGCCCATTGATAGGTATATCCTCCTCTTGAGCAAAGACCAACCCAGCTTCAAAAGCCTCAACCACTTGGTGGACTCGCCCAGTCAAGACTTTGCGAGTCTCCATGGAGACCCCACCTGGTGATCTTCTCTTAATCTCAAATGGGAGCTGATCGTCGTTCGATTGATCATCATCTGAATCCATGGTCTGCTGCTGACCCTCATAATCCCGAGGGGCTACAACCTCCTCATCCTCCAACTACCGTGGATCACCATAAGGAGTCGTTCCCCCATCCTGCTTCGACTTATCCTGAATGCAGTCTGCTCCTCCCTTTTTCGGTCGCGGGCGAGCCCGATGCACCGTACTTCCAGTATGAGAAGTACCCTTTTGGGGGAACTCGGGGATTCTCCAGGGGCTGCCTAGATTGTGCGGCTTTCGCACCAACCAACTCCTCCTCTTCCGATTCCTCTTGCAAGATCAGCCTTCGCCTCCGGGATTGCTCAAGAACAACCTCAACCTGGTCCTCTGTCTGCTGACGATTGGACACCTTTCTGGCACGTCTTCCCACCTGCTGACGACCCTTGGAGCCCTTCCGGGGGAGAGGTGCAGCCTCTCTGGGCGACAATTTCTTTTGGTGCGGACGAACCCCACCACTAATCTTCACTCGAGGTGAGGCTTTGAAGACAACTCGTTTAGGGCTAGCACGATTCCCCAACAGCTTAGGTCTGGACTCTTGCACCCAAGGTTGCGGGTCCATATAGCCATGAATCTCATGCTGATGAACAGCCTGATCAACAGAGCGATCAATAGGCACTGGTCGTATCTCCCGAGCTCTAGCATTCTTTGCATTCCCATCATTCTGCACTTGTACATTCCTGTTCACCCACACCGATTTACTGGTGTTGCGAAACTTTGGGAACTTATCCTCATCCATATAGATCTTCCTTCCTAGTTTCCTTGTAGACATATGCGGGCTAAAGCGTTCTTTACCAGGTGGAGGAGCAAAAACACATTCTGGCTTCGAGTGCCCCACACGGCCACAGAGGTAGCAGAAGGTCGGCAGATATTCATATTTGAGGTTTACCCAGAAGCTACCAAGCTCTTTACTAACCGCCATGAACTGAGACCGCAACGGCTTAGTGAAATAGATGAGGGCGTGCACTTTAACAAAGCACTCCTCTGTTTCTCTAGATGCGAAAACATCAGCCTCCAAGACTTGGCCGATTGTTCCCGCTGCCACTTTCCTGCCGAACTGCTTGGTGCAGCAATCCTCTTTCACATTCCACAATTGAACACGGAAGGGAGCAATGGCCAGATCATCAAAAATTGGCCTCGTGATAGCTGAAGTCCAAGGCCAGAGGTGTAAAATTCTGTCTTTGACAATCCAAGGAGTTCGTTTGAGGATCCAAACACTCGTCTCATCACTGGGCAGAACAATTTCAAATAAGCCATATTTAGTGACCGAAACCCTAAGATTTCCTTGCACCCACCAGGCCTCGATCAAGCCATCTCGCAACTCACTAGGAGTAAATTTGGTCTCCGAGAATAATCTCCCCAACAGACTTCTCGATGTTCGAAACTTCACCGATTGGACCTCTTCGAGAGAGAACTCAACCACTTGATCCTCCGCAATACGAGCCATCGTGGGCACCTGACACAAATGAGAACACGACGAATTAGAAACAACTGATTCGACCGAAGTAAAATCAGTAAAATTAAATGGCAGCAGTCGGGTAATCGGTCTGGCCACCCTAGGCCCAGCATCCCAAAAATCGATCGCCCCCAGATTCCTGCTAACAGCCAGAGGCGTCGGGGACAGCAGAGTTGAAAACTCAGCCTTTGCTAGCTGCGGTAAACGATACAAATGGCATGGACTGTTGGTCGAGGGACTAAAACCCAGATTTTTTACGGCAGCGAGCTGCCCGGCCGAGAGGGGCTCTCCGTACCCAGGGGCGTACAGCCCAGCGCCACCGAAGGCAGCAAACTGCCCGGCCAAGAAAGACTGTCCGCCACACCGACAGAGAGAAGTTTACTCGTAAATGAGCAAGGGGAAGACAAGGGATAATTCCTCGTACCTGATTGATTGGCGGGGAAGGAGCACTGCTGCAAGGGGCCTTCGAATTTACTAGCTTCGCTGCAAATCTCCCTGCTCCGAACAAAGCATATCGGATATTGAGCGAGGGCAGCAGTAGCTTTATAGAGGACGGAGTCCCTCTTCTCCACGAAAAGGGAATATCCCATCGATCTGCTGGTAGTTAGAGGCGTAGTTGGATTAGGAGATCTCCGCTGGAGATACGAAATCCTTCCCCCTAATTGGAATCGGCTCCCAGGATTCTCGCCCAACAGCCCTGGAAATCTGCCCAAGAGTCCCTCCAAAACCATCTCGAAAAAACGCGTCACCACCAGCTGCCGGCGAGAATCGCCCCCGACTGGCCGAATTCGCCTTTCCACTCCGACGACAATAGGATTAGGCTTCAGGGATTTTGAATCCTCTCTATCATCGCCTGGCTTCACGCCACAGATCTCCTCCCCGAGGGGTACCTTCAAATTAACACAATCCACCCTTACATCCAAATTTCTTGGGTGGGTGGAATCAATAGATAAACAAGGTATGCTAATCCCTTCTTGCGCATTAAATGGCGGCAGGGGAAAAGTCCCAACCCCTAAGGGTGAAGATTTACCAACTCGATTACTTCGTAACGGGATCCTATTTGGTGCCCGAGAGGGCTGAACCCTACACCTCGCGAGCGAGGGAAGAACAACCTCATCGTCGTCCAACTCCGATGAGTGCGGGAGACTGAATCTCCAAAACTTCCTAGGCCTGCACCGGCCTCTCTTGACTGGACGCTCTTCTCCAGACTTAATTTCGGCAAAAGCCACATGGATCGATCTCTTCTTGAGGCGGAGCCGTTTCGCTCGACGCCAACCAATTTCATCCAGTTCTCCCTTCGAGAAGGGGACCGACGAATCTGGGATTTTTCTCCATTTCCTGTGATTGATGGGGTCTTCGCCAAACCTGGTATTCCGATAGCGAATCCCTCCCGAGGCAAACAAATCCGCGACCCGTCCGACGAACAATACCCCTGATTCTGCAGACTGACCTTGAGAATGGCCACAGTGAGACGCAAAATCCACCGTCCAAGAGCAAAAGGAGGAGAGAGGACAATGAAATGAAGATAATAAAAAAAACCTCAACTAGAATTGATGAACGAATGAAAAATCGACAACGATACCAAATAGAAGAAAAATAGAGCTCATCTGGTCCATTAACCAAATTTAGAAACTTCATATTTTTTCCTAACAAACTAAACTCAACTAGAAATAAAATACGCCCAATTAGCTGTTCTAAGTTCTAACCAATTAGCTACACAAACTAACATAATTAGATCAAACTTCATTGAAGACTTTCCCCCTGCCATTCATTTAACGATGCAAGTCACGTTGTGGGTCCCAGACTTGAGATGCCGGTTCATAGCGGTCGAATTTTTCGACGACGGAATCTTGCCCCGATCATCCCGTTCAAAGTTGCAGCCTCCAGCGCCGCCGCCATAGCTCCAGGGAGAAAAATCAATCAAATCATCGAAACAGAGATCAAGCTCCAGCAATATCTTCCGGTTGCTCCGCGATCTCCTCGCCATCCTCTTCCTCCTCTCCAGCGGCGATTCCGGCTTCGACTGGAACACCACTATCTCCCCTGCTGCTCTGCCTCCTCCTCCTCCTCCTTCGTTACTTTGCTTCTCGTTCACCGCTAGTGGCTCGAATTCTTCTTTCGGAGGAGAAGGTTTCAGCTCGGAATTGAAATCTTCGTCCTGTTCAACGACATCGGAGCTCTGGATTACTGTAATTTGATTGCTCTGTTCTTTTTCTGATTCTAGAGATGGGATGAGATTTGCGGTGGGGAGAATTGGAGAAGAGAGGGCGTTGCCGAAAAACCAGAGAGACTCTAGGCTCTCCACCAGCTGCTCGTATTCCGCCATTGGAAATCCCCAACAGGCGAGATTTCGAAGGGAGATTAGGGATTCAAGGTGTTAACAGTTTTAATCGGATAAAACTCTATAGCTGAGTAGAAGAGACGGGTAGGACGACGTTTCTATATTCCCGTCGAATAAGCCGGCGCGGATCGAGCAATTATCAGATGCCAAAACCATAATTCCCTCGGAAAATAGAATAGTATTCAGAATAAAATTCGGATTCGGAAATTCATTGACCAAAATTCTGAAAATCTTAATGTACGTACGGATGCCAGACCATAATTCCTGTATGGTGATGTGTTGCATATGCTAGTTTCATTATTTTAGATGATGAACTAAGGTAGTTTTAAAAGTATGATACTGTAATCTAATTTTTAATGGATGAATGACAAACCTGGATTCTCTATATTTAGACCATAAGAAGAATAATAATCGACGGGTATGATTATTGAAAGTGCATCGAAGTACATCTAGTTATATGTGTGTACACATACGTGCATTATACTTCAGGTGATCTCGCCGTTGAATGTACTTCGTTGTACTTCGATGAATCATAGTCGCTATGATTATGATTCGTCGATATCGATCGAGTTACATCCAAGACATGTAAACTAACGTACATATATGACAAAAGACATGCATACGTAATATTATATATTGATGGAACACGAATACACGATTACGATGATATTAAATAGCATCGTGGGTATGTGCACAAATTGAGCCATCAATATTTTACAGCAAGAGGAACACCAATGAAATTATTAACCGGGGTATTATTATGGCGTGGGTAGACTTTCCACTTGAACAAAGACGACAAGTGAAGGAAAGAAAGAAGAAAAAAAACTTGCAGTGGGGGATCAAGATTTCAACGTGAGTTGGTATACAATACAGGTTGAGTCGTTGACATTCAGTTCAAAATCATTAGTTGATGAGGAAGTGGGAAATTGCATCAACCCCATTTTGGCTAGTGGTTGACTGGTTTGGCAACTAACATTTATTAGATTGAGTTGTGCTGAATCTTCATCCCACTCTAACCATATAATTTCATGACTTCTTAGTGAACAAAATAGGTCGGCAGAACACATATCCTCTTGTAGGTTATCGGGTAGCAGCAGAAAATGGCTAGATTAGTTTGGTTTCTAACAGTTGTGAGTTGGAATCAGTATAGGCAACGAGTTCAGTTTCATTGAAGTATTAGTTAAAATGAATCGTCCGTGTAAACATAACCGATTGATTTTCAAGTTGTCTACTTATCTTGTTGGTTTGATTCAGTTGACACTCTAATTTAAACAAGTTGGACGGATAACTTGGTTGCGATAGGCAAAGCGTGACTTACTGTTATGTTTGTCATTCCAAACTTTTGTGACAAGGTCGTTCTGCTTATGAATATGAAAGAATTTATAGAGTACTCTTAAAGAAAGACCATTCACTTCTAGTGAATTTCAACATTTCTCGGAGATAAGTAGAAAACCATGCCTAAAAATCACAACGCAACAAAACACAACCACAAAGACTATCAAAGCATTAACACTTTTATTTTTTTTTATTTCTGAGTGATATCAATGGAAGAAAATAGTTAAACTTACAATTCTACCCATCAACACTTTTATTTATTAAAAAAAAACTTTTATTGTACAGACTGAGTTTGTACATAATATTATTATGGTATAAATTCCGCTTCTACCCAAAATTTAGTCACTAATGGCCTAAGTATCTGACTCACATCCTTAATGTTCTCTTATATATTAGGGATCAACTAACAAAATCTTTGACCGGTTTGTTCAAGAAAAAACCAAGCTTTGGGAACGAGGTTTTGCCCCCGATGGATCTAGCTCTTAATCTGTCGACACTTGTAATTAAGACAAATTAATAAATTAAGCTGCCTAGCTCGAGCCATGTTCTTCTTCCTATTCCAGTTTGAGATTCGCTTTTAACCAACGATTTCACTGCTGTTTCCTGCTAATTTTGTTCGCTGTCAGAAATTAATTCCCTCTTTTGCCGTCCATTGACCCATGCAAGCAAACCACAGGCTGTGATTCTCTTCCACCTGGAACAACATAATTCCGATTTGTAACACCATTTTACTTGGAAGGGTATAATATAATGGTTAATGGCGCCATGGCAGAACATAAAAGGAGAGATTTTTTTTTTACTTACAACAGCTACGAGAGGCGATTCAGACATTCAGACTCCAGAGGCACAATTATGCGACCAATTATAAAGTTACTGACGCCTTTTCACCTATCACAACTCCTGTGTATTCAGGTAAATCAAATTTGACGAGTCGCCATTGACTGGAAAAGTGTTTCATTCCACAACAACAAGGGGGCGAAATCAGTATTTCAAGTTTGAGGGGCTCAATTATGATGGAAATTTTTTGAAAATAAAATTATTAACGATAAGTAAATGCATAAATTATTCGAATAAAGAAATTTACTTTGGATATTTTTCGAAATCGCAAATCCTTATTACATTTCATATCATACGAATACCTAATTTTTATCGATGAACCTTTACCAAAACCCCCAGCAAGAGTCCAAGACCATGGTGTGGTGCCCATGCCCATCGCCTATCCTCATTCCTAGGGGTGACTATACGGTCCGGTTAAATTGGACCAAATTGATCTGGTACCAGTCCGGTCTTTTCGGGAATATAAGGAGCAAAAATTAGATTGGATACAGTCCGGTTTTGATCCGGTCCGGTCTTGACCCGGTTCGGTCCCAATTTGATCTTGATTTTAGGTTTTGGGGGTCTCTTATCCAGTCTTTATCCGAGTTTTTACCTCAAATCTAAGACCGAATATGAGATTGAATTGTTTGCTTTGCGATCCCAGTCCGGTCTCGATCCGAGTTATACGGTCCGGTTTCGGGTAAAACCAAACAGTCCTGACCAAATACCCAGTCCTACTCATTCCAAGCCACGATAAAATCCAAGCACAAACCGGGGAAATGGAATGGAAGTGGCATAGAGAAGAATGAAGAAATAGTCCACCAATTAGTTGTGTACAATTGGACAAAGAGCTAATGATTGAATCGGTTTATCCCGATTTAACTTCGACATCATCGGTAAAACTAAACCCGCCGACAATTATTATTGTTAAGACTCATCTGTAATTTTTTTTACAGGAACATGTTCATCGGGACTGTAACTAGACGAATGGGAAAAAAGAGATGAGCATCGTCTCTAAAATTCGAATTTAGGAACTCCATACTAAAAACCAATAGCAAGCCACGACCTCGTTTGCATGACTCATATACGTAGTTGATTTTTTTTTTTTTTGCCATAGATAGAATAGTAATAGACAAGGTTGTCAACCCGTGGGTTGACCCGGACCCGGTCGAGTTAGTGGGTCAAGGGTTAACTGGTCACCCATTTTAGCCCGGAAATATGGAAAGAGTCATTATATGGTACTTATCCTGATAAATTATATCAAATCTCATCTAACATTTGAGTAATACATATAACATTGCACCAAAGTAACATGTCGTACTTAGATCCAACATATAGTGAAAATTCAAACACACTTATATAACATCAATATTCAAATGTTCAACTAAGGATTCCAAAGATTGAGTTAGGCGAAAAGAAAAATTGGTAAATAGGCGCATTTCGCAAACCAAAGGAAAAAATGACACAATTTCATCTTCAACCCGGTACCTTGTAGCGATCGACCCGGCGGGTGTGTGCAACCCATTTTTCTCAATGAGTCAGGGTCAAAGTGGGTCGACCCGCGGATTGACAACCTTGTTAATAGATAGTTGATTAAAAGAATGATTGTTTTTCATATAGGTAGTTGATTAATTAATATCTTCATCAATTCCAACAACGTAGCTTTTTTATTTGGCTCTGTATTTACATTTGGTAGGGGTAAATAACGAACAGTAAAGAATCATCTTACAAACGAATTAAAAAGAATGAATTTTTTCCTCTCAGTGTGTGTGGCTTCGGATTCGGTCCAACCGTCCAACCAACGTTATCTAACCGTAGATGCAACAGTATGCGCCCACAATCTCAAGCTATCTTTCATATCCATCTCGCTCCCCAATCCCATCGCCGGAACCCGCCAATTCGTCACCGGATTCCTCAATTTCTCCGCCTCCCGAGCCGCCCAGGCTTCCGACAAGTACGGCCGCGGAATCGCCGATTCGTCCACTTCTCCGTCGACCTTCTTCCCCAGTCTCTGCAGCCCGGGGAGAATCGACGCCAACCTGGAGTCCCTGTCTTCTTCGGAGAACACAAACCCTAAATCCATAAACCCTTTCACCTCTTCGAACTCCAGCGACGACAGGCTCTTGCTTGCCGGCCCTTTCTTCGCCGCTCTGCGCGCCTTGGGCGGCGAATTGGAACCGGAGGCGGCGCGAGGTACCTTTCTGCGACGCGGGCGTGGAGGAGGAGGAGGGGAGTAGTTAGTGAATTGTTCCGATTCGTCTCCGGTGGCTTCTTTGCCGGAGAGGATTGTGCGGAGCTGGGAAGTGAGGACGGAATCCGGCGAGGCCGGGATGTTGTGGAAGCTCGGCTTCGTGTACAGATCCTCGCTCACGGATCTGAGAATCGTCGATTGGCCGCCGCGAGTCGTCGGCGGAGGCGGAAGGGGAGATTGTTGCTTCTGGATCTGCATATAGATGCTGGCCATAGTCGGCGTCTCCGGCGGGGAATCCGGCGGCGAAGGGGAAGAATTCGTTGACCGGTCCGTCAATATCTCCATCTCGAACCAGTAGGAATCGTAGAGGTTCAGGGCTTCACTTGCGTCCATCAACGGAGGAGGAGGAGCGGCGGCGGAAGAGGAAAGTAGAAAAGTCTGGAGAATTCTTTTTATATATTTTTTTTTCTTTTACCAGTTTGGAGATTTTGTTTCCGTTTGGGTTTTAATTGCGAAGAACACGGGAGAGTCGTCTTATATATATATGAGAGAGCGGACCCTGGAGTGACCGAAATGCCCTTTCCAGTTGTTGGAAAATATGACTAGTAAACCATCAAAATTCAGGAATCAAATAATTAGTATCGTGTCAGCGTGGGACATAATTAATTAATTTCGGTAATCTTCCGGGTCCGGGTTAGTCCCGGCAAAGCTGAGTGATTATGTAAAACAGTAAAAGTTTTAATCGGGTAATGCGTGGAAGGATTATGACGTGGCTTGGAGATGAAGCGAAACCAATAATGGAGCCTGGTGTGGGACCCACGGCGCGGCAAACCCCATGATCTTGGATTTTGTCTCTCATATTTTATTTTATTAATTTAGGGGAGGGAACAAAATGGCAATCGTCAATGATGATTAATTACCATTTATTTCGGGTTTTGTTTTATTGTTTTACAAAGCATCTCTTTGCTTACTGATCTCACAGTTCACACTCACAATCGAGTTAGTCTGGCACTGATGAAAAATATATCGACGATGAATTCTAATCTAAATAATTATTTTTTGAAAAAAAATACAATTTTGTGTTCAATTTTTTTAAGTTAGTGAAATATTAATTAACTATTTCGAAATTAAAAATTTGACTAATATGACCACTTTTGTATGACATAGACACATTTTGTTAGCTACTACTATTTACAACCAGTATCATCGAATGCTTTGCACATGGCATCAGAACAAAAGAAAATCACAATTTGTCCATCATATCTTCAACATTGTTACATTTAACAAGGAGTGACATCTAATTTCGAAAGTTATGGTGATAAACATGACTTGCATAATTCCTTTTAGCTTTGAGCGATACATGTTATTGGTGGAAGTATGCATATACTATATTATTCAATCAAAATATTTCAAACTCACCGAATGCAAGGAGTTCTATTAGCAACTTTTTTATGATAATATTATGGATTTATCATTAACTATTAAAAGGTCCAATGAAAAGGGCTTGAACTCAAATGATATTGTAGTGAACTCGTGATACAATATAGTGTACATACAACTCTGTTTTCATCCAATGTGATTATCATAAGCTGCAATCGCGTATGATTATATTTTTATTTTATTTTTATCTTTCACGACTTCAGAGTTTATAACTACATCAACTCTGCTTGTAATTACAAGTGAATTTCATTGTTAAATGTGAAACGAAATTGAAATGAATGTGATTACTAGTAAGGCTGAGATTTCGATAAGAAGAACATATAAAACTACAAAAGAATTGAATTGGTAAGAACGATGATGAGTTACTCTATTCTTTAGGGGATTTTATTTTTAGTTAGTCTCAATCAATCATTATGTTTAAAGTAATAGCATGTATATATTATGAAGTGTTTATCCTCATCAAAATAGACCGTGTTGTGTTCAAGGGGGGAACAAGAAAGTACACGTGCAGGAATGGAGGGTGTACTGTGTGTTTATCCTAACGAAAATGGACCGTGTTGTGTTGGTTAATTACTTAATTATGATTAGAGTTCGGTTTAACAGTCTTTGGAGGGGGGATTACGTGTTTGATTAGTGACTACTCACTGACTAACTACCCAAAGTTTTGTTCAAAACCGAGTGAACGAAAAAAAGAGGTCAGGGACAAGTGAAGTACGGAGAAGAGCTTCGGCAATGTCAACGTGGCGTGAGAACATGTTCCATCGGCTGGCCGAGGAGGGGTAGTCCGGTAAATTGCACAGGCTGAAGGTTTTCTATAATAATAATTTGTTTAGTATTAGGCCTTGCCGAATATTGGGGGTACTCCGAGTGTGGAAAGCTCAGTTTCAAACAATGGGCCCGGGCCGGGCCCAATGTGAAGTGAGTTAAAGTGAAGCGGTCCAGTCACTTGGTTTGGTACGTGGGGAAGAGATGAGAAGAGATACGGGTTTCCACGTGCATCTCGTGCGCGTTCTTTTTCTCCCCCTCTTTCTCCAAAGCAAATGCTCCTTTTTTAGGAGAGCGGATCTCATGACTAACTAAGCCCCTCCTAGCTATTAGATCTAAGATCTGTACACTTCAATCCAATGGTTAAAAAGTGGGAAAGGCTATTTAATTAATGACAGGGGTAGTTTGGGTATTATAGAAAATTACGAAGTATACAAACCGGATTTACAATCAGTACAAACCATACAAACATATGAACAGTACAAACTAGAGCGACAAAACATACAAACAAATTTACAAACATTACAAATGTATGAACTGTACAAACAATACAAACTAGACTGACAAACAATACAAACCATACAAAAAGAAAAAACAGTCGGGTTGACTTTGGAGGCTCCAGCCCTATATAGATTATAGAGGGGCTCCTTCCCAAAGTCAACCCGGGTGTTTTTTAGACATACGAACAGTACAAACATGGTGGACAAAAATGACAAACTAGACCGACAATCCATACGAATGGGAAAAAACACCCGGGTTGACTTTGGAGGCTCCATCCCTATATAGAGAGGCTCCTTCCCAAAGTCAACCCGGGTGTTTTTTAGTCATACAAACGGTACGAACATGGTGGACAAAAATGACAAACTAGACCGACAATCCATACGAACGGGAAAAAAACACCCGGGTTGACTTTGGAGGCTCCATCTCTATATAGAGAAGTTCCATCCAAAAGTCAACCAGGTTGTTTTTTAGACATAAAAAATATTACAAACATGGTTGACAAAAATGATAAACATGGTGCACAAAAATAACAAAGTTTACAAACATTACAAAATAACAAAGCGTACAAACATTACAAAATATGTCAACAAACATCACAAAATTGGCACTGTCGCCGGAAAATTGTTCTCCGTCCACGATGGTCGCCGGAAAAAAATTTTCCGACCATAAAATTTTCCGACCAGAAACTCTTTCTCTCTCTCTCTCTCCGCGCAAAAACAAAAGAGAATGGCTGTGTGTGTCTGCGCAAAACAAAAACAAAAGGGAATGAGGATGATAATCCCACCCCATCCAGGACGCCGAAATCTATATCGCCGGAATGAAAACCGACGAAAACCAGCAGCCGCCGGCGGTTGGTAGTAAGACGGGAATTCAAGCGGCGAAAAATCCCGCAAACAGTTTTTATTTTTTTAATAATTGATAATTAAATAAATTTACAATTACTAGATTACCCTTCATTAAATGAGATCAATTACAACCCTTAGATTTTAATGAAGTTTAATGGTTGAGATTGCCTTAGCCATGTGGCTAAGGGACCCCCTAGTCACCTGATCTTGGCCCTTTTTTAGGGCTTTAAGAAAGGGTTATTGACCATGCAGAGACTTATACTTTACTCTCTTTAGCAAATTGGTCCTTCAACTTTCCATTTTAACGAGCACACTCGTAGTTTATAAAAATAAAAAAAAAAGAGCACAAGTCCATATTTTTATTGTATTAAAGAAGCTGCTCTGTTGATGAAAGAAAGATTAAAGACAAAAGGTCTTATCTTGTTTGTGGGGGCTTTTTCTCTCTCTCGTTTAGCGAGAGTAGCATAGCGGCGGAACCCTAGGGTTTCCGAGGAAAATTAGGTTTCCGAGCTCGAGAGAGACAAGGTTCTGGTTAGGAGGTCTGATTATATCTATATTTAGGGAGTACAAAGGTTGTCAAACACAATACCAATACGAGAGGTGTGAGATTTGGCGAGGCAAAAGGCTATAGAGATACAGAGTGTGGTTGCTAGGGTCTCTACGTTCGTACAAGTGTTGCTTTAATGGAGGAGAGTATTGAGAAAGGGGATTCCTTGACGTCCCCTGTGGTGGATACAGTTCCGCCTGGCTCAGAGGGGGATTTACTTGATCAGATGGACAAGTTCAACATCGAGGATGATGATGAGGAACCACTGATGGTGGAGGACTCTGACGTTGACGTTGTTAGGATGGAAGCATTCAGGCGGCTGGGGCTGTTTGGTAGATTGGTCGCTGAAAAACAACCAAACATAAAATCACTGAAGATAGCGTTAACAAAAGCATGGAACACGAGGAAAAGCTTTCAAATAACTGACCTGGGAGACAAGCTATTTGCGTTCCAGTTCCTAGATATGGATGATAGGAACAAGGCATGCTATGGAGGGCCATGGCATTATGAGAATAATATTATGGTTCTTGCCTCTAGCTTCTTGATCAAGAAGCCGGTGCCTGAAGACCTGCATATGATAGACCTGTGGGTTCAGATTCAGGGTTTTCCAGCAGAGCTGAGAACTCAGAAGATGGCAGAGAAAATTGCAACAAGATTCGGGACTCTAGTGTGGTTCGACAACAGTACAGGGACAATGTGGGATGACTATCTCCGTATCAGGATTAATCTATCCATTAATAACCCTCTCAAGAAGAAACTGAAGTTAAATATTGGAGGAGAACTGGTGGAGTATGTGGTCAAGTACGAAAAACTACCACTATTCTGTCATTCATGTGGCAGGATTGGGCATGCTAAGCTCAAGTGTCCTAAACCATCAGGGTTAGGGGGAGACCCTTTTGGGTTGGATATGAGAACTGGACCCCCTGGGCCTAGAATTTGGAAGTCGACTATGGCAAAGAAAGAAGATGCAGAAATTTGGGAAATGTTGAAGAAGAAGTTTGAAATAGATAGTACAGGCTCTAATTTTGACAGCGACGCACAGAGAGGAGAGCAAGCAGAGGATAGCAAAAACAAAAATACATCGGGGAAGGAAGGAACAGTTATGGAAGTGGAACAGACACCCCTCATAACAGAAAGGGAGCCATATGACAATGCAAACAAAGCGAAGGAGAAGAAGACTGAACAAGGCACTCAATCAAAGGAAAAGAGGCAGGAGGAAAGTAATGTGACAATTGGAGCTTTGAAGAAATTTACGATGGGAAGTGAGGTAGAGCTTACTACAAAGAGGACCACTCCAAATGTGTGGCGTAGACAAGAACAGAAGAAAGTGAGGCTGCCTGCAGGAATACAGATTACTCCACAGAAGAGGAGTAAAGATCTGCAAGAAGGAGAAATGGAAATGGAGGTGGATGAAATAGTGAACCATAAGAAGGCCAAAATGTTAAACTTTACAGGGGAGCTGGACGGAACACAAAATGGGTCTCAACAAAAGGTGGATGGCGACAAGGCGGACTCTGTCGAGGAACAGAGCCGCCGAGCCCAATGAATGTATTAAGTTATAATTGTCGAGGGTTGGGGAATCCCTCGGCAATTAAGAAGGTGAAGTCTTTAATTCAAAGACAAAATCCCCACATAGTCTTCTTAATGGAGACGAAAAGAAAACACCACGAATGGAAGGAAACAATGGGAAAACTAGGCTGGAGTAATGGGTTTGGTGTGGGATCGAATGGGAGGTCAGGAGGGCTAATGGTCCTATGGCAACCAGAGGTTCACCTTGAGATCAAAGGATCATCAGATAATCATATAGATATGAAAATCAGGGAAGAGGGGAAGGAATGGAGACTAACGGGGCTGTATGGATGGCCTGAGCAGAGGAACAAACATCGCACTTGGAATCTTCTAACACAGCTAAGGGATCTGGTGGACCTACCCTGGCTTGTGACAGGAGATTTTAACCTTGTCCAATGCTACTCAGAGAAAAATGGAAAATTTGAAGCAGCAGAGAAGGAGATGGACGGGTTCAATAGGGCCCTGGAAGAATGCAGGTTAGAGGATCTGGGTTTCTATGGAAGAAGATTCACATGGGATAATAATCACAAGGATGATACCTTCTTAGAGGAAAGACTAGATCGAATGGTGGCAACGGAAGAATGGTTGAACATATATCCAGAAGCAAGAGTCTATCACCTGAATCGATGTGGTTCAGATCACAACCCTCTGTTTTTGGTAACTCAGTTGAATGAGCCTGAAATAAAGTGGGGATCCTCTTTTCGGTATGAGGCATATTGGCAAAACCACCAGGAGATCAAAAGGGTGGTTGACGAGGGATGGAAAAAAGCAAGAAACGGTTCAGTGATGGACAGAATAAAAGAATGCGAGTACACCTTAAAGAAGTGGAGCCAGACCACTTTTGGGAGCATAAGACATAGGAAAAGGAAAATAGAAAGGATCCTGGGACGCATCGAGAAGATGAATATGACAGCATCTGTAGTCCAACAGAGAGATGCCTTAGAGAAAGAGTTAGATGACATTCTGGCAATCGAAGAATTGAAATGGAAACAAAGATCCAGAACTGAATGGTTAAAAGAGGGGGACAAAAATACGAAGTTCTTCCACCACAGAGCCTCAGAGAGAAGGAAGAGGAATACAATAAGGAAATTGAAAGGTGGAAATGGGGAAATGTTTGAAGGACAGGAAAGGGTAGCTGCTTGCCTGACATCTTTCTATAGGCGACTGTTTTCGACCGAGAGTAGAATGCAAGGGAATCGAATCATTGATTCGGTGCCAAGAAAGGTGACGGAGGACATGAATGAAACTCTGATGCAACCGTTTACGAGGGAGGAAATCTGGACAGCCCTAAACCAAATGGGACCATTGAAGGCACCTGGTGAGGATGGGCTGCCTGCTTTGTTCTTTCAAAAGAACTGGGACATTGTAGGTGATGAGGTTACTAAGGATCTACAAGGCTACTTAGAGTCGGGGAGGTTCCCTGAGGAGCTGAATCGAACCCTAATAACCTTGATACCAAAGAAGAAAACCCCAACAACCCCTGCTGACTTTAGACCTATCAGCTTGTGTAGAGTGTTATACAAGATTCTTTCAAAAGTACTGGCAAATAGATTAAAGGTGATTCTCCCTGACATTATAACACCTAATCAGAGTGCTTTTGTCCCGGGGAGACTGATTACAGATAACATTCTGGTAGCTTTTGAATGTTTCCACTCAATGCAACAGAAGAAGAAGGGGAAAAGGGGCCTGCTAGCAGCTAAATTAGACATCACAAAAGCCTATGATAGGGTGGAGTGGGGTTTTTTGGAGGCAATAATGAGGAAGATAGGGTTCAATGATCGATGGACAAAGCTGGTAATGGAATGTGTGTCTACAGTTTCCTACAGCATCCTAGTGAATGGACACAAAACGGAATGGTTTAAACCAACTAGAGGCTTAAGGCAGGGAGATCCTATCTCTCCATACCTATTCCTATTGGTAGCCGAGGGGTTATCTGGATTACTTACAAAGGCTGAGGAGGAAAGGAGAATTACAGGAATGAAAGTCAAAGGAGGAGCTCCTACAATCTCTCATCTCCTGTTTGCGGATGACAGCATCCTCTTCATTAATGCAACCAAGCAGGAATGTGAGCAATTGAAAAGCATTCTGACCCTCTATGAGCAGGAATCTGGACAACAGGTTAATTTGATGAAATCGGAATTGTCCTTTAGTCCAAATGTGGAGATGGACAAAAGAGAAGAACTGGCAGCTGTTCTAGGAATGAAATGTGTGCCCTATCATGAAAAATACTTAGGCCTTCCAACAAAGGTGGGAAGGGGGAAGAAGGCTGCGTTTGGTTACTTAGTGGATAGGGTACGAAGTAAGGTAAAGCACTGGAAAAGTAAATTACTGTCTATCGCTGGGAAGGAGGTGTTAATCAAATCTGTGGCTCAATCTCAGATGACCTATGCAATGTCAATTTTTTCGATACCAGTAGGGGTGCTAAAGGAAATCCAAAGGCTAATCACCAACTTCTGGTGGGGACAGCAGCAAGAAGAGAAAAAGACACATTGGTTAAGATGGGAGGAAATCAGTAGACCCAAATCACAGGGAGGATTGGGATTTAGAGACCTAAAATGTTTCAATATGGCTCTTCTAGGGAAACAACTTTGGAGACTGATGAAGGAGCCTAATTCTCTGGTGGCTAGGGTGATGAAAGCTAAGTACTTCCCATCTAGAGATATATTAGAGGCAGAGAAGGGAGCAGGCTCGAGCTTTGTATGGAAGGGGCTGATGGAGGCAAAAGGTCTGGTCAAGAAGGGAGCTAGATGGAGAGTAGGCAACGGAAATAGCATCGACATATGGCTGGACAAGTGGATTCCCACTGGGAAGGGCTTCAAGGTTCAATCACCTGTTGCACGAGTGGGTAGTACTACCTCTGTAGCAGAATTGGTGGATTTGGAAACCAGAAGCTGGAATCAGAACCTATTACAGACGTACTTCTGCCCATCGGACCGCAAACACATCCTAAAAATCCCTATTCCTCGTCAACCATGTGTGGATGAGAAGGTGTGGAGTGTTGAAAATACAGGGGAATACACTGTGAAATCGGCCTACAGGCTATGGAAGGACAAGGATGAGGAGGAGGTGGGGGAGTTGTATACACCAGTCAACTGGAAGAGGCTGTGGAAACTAAATATACCCCCTAAGGTCAAGCTGTTCTCGTGGAGATGGATTCGGGATATCCTACCGACGGGGAAGAGGATTCTAGATAGAACGCAACAAGGAACAGGAGGGTGCCCTTTCTGTGATTTGCCGGAAACACAAAAGCACATTTTTCAGGACTGTGCGTGGGTGAGAAGGGTAACCAGACCTACTGACATGCATCTCCTGTTTGAGAGGGGGGAGGAACTCACCTGTGAGGAATGGTTCTGAAGTTTGCAGGAGACGGAAGAGGACGCACAAATCGGGAGATTCCTCGTTTCTCTTTGGTTCATCTGGGATCAAAGAAACAGTCAGGTATGGAATAAGCGAAAATTGGAGGAATGGGAAATTATCCCCAGAGCTATGGCATGGTTAAGTGAATACCTGGAATTTCAGGAGGAGGAGAAGGCGGCGGAGAGGGGAAATGAAGAGTGGCGTTTATCCCAGTCTGTGGAATTTACGATTTCGGTGGATGCAGGGTGTTTGCCAGATCAAGGAACAGGGTTTGGGGCGATTGTTCGAAGGAAAGATGGTGGGTTTGTGGCGGCGGCGGTGAGGAGAACCAGGAGGCAATGGGAAGCGGCGGAGGCGGAGGCCATGGCGGTGCTTTTCGGGATGGAAATAGGTCGTCCTCTCCAACTGCGATCCATTTCCATTCAATCAGATTGCCAGCGAGTGGTGAGGATGATAGAAGGCAAAACGACATCGTCGTTGGAGATAGGCCAGATCGTGATGGAGGTGAGGGAGTTGGGTTCGGGTTTTGATAGAATTGAGTGGGCCCATGTAAAACGAGCCCACAACAGGTCTGCCCATAGTATGGCCCATATTGAATGTAATTGGGAGGAGGATGAGTGTTGGGTGGATAGACCACCAGTTTTTTTGGTTTCTCTTCTTAGAGAGGAGTCTCTTTGTTTAAACAATTCTCATTAATAAATTAAGCAGGAAGCATTTCTAAAAAAAAAAAAAGACAAAAGGTCTTAGATGAAAGTCTACCAATTTGTTCTTTGCGTTGGGGTGGGTATGAATGGACTTGTGGACGGGCGAGTCAGGAATGGGCCCGCGGGAACCCAACTTCTGCAGCTCAAGTCAACTGATAATAAATAAAATGTGGGCTCGTGGCAGATATGGGCCTTACTAATAATACTATACTGCTGGTCTGAAACTGATAAACATAAACACTTTTCATACTAACTCCCTGGACAGAAACGAGGCAACGTCGATTTTTTTTTTTTTTTTGTATTACAACAATCACACGTGGTTATTAACAAATTATTTTTTCATGGGGAAGTTCACATCAATGTGATAAGTCCGTCTTAAACCAAATGGGTCCTACATGTCATTTTCACTTTCTTGGCGTAATTTCTAGACAGAATGTACTAAACAAAAAAAAAAAAAAAACCAAATATATATCACATGATATCATATATATACCATGCACATATTTTCAATTTCAGCATAAAATTCAAACCAATTGATTTTAGGGTTAATTGCAAGGATGGTCACTGGGTTTACTAAAACCGTTCATGTTTGGTCACTGCGAATCTTCTGTCCATGAATGGAATTAAATATTTGCAGAGACTAACGGAGAGTGACCAAACTTGAACTAATCTTAGTGACTTTGAATGAAATTAAATATTTGCAGTGACCAAACATGAACGGTTTTAGTAAACCCAGTGACCATCCTTGCAATTAACCCATTGCTTTTAGCATGCAATTTAAATAACTTACGTACCATCGAATTGCATGGCGGCCGGCGGAGATCCTTAATTTGTACGAGCTGAGAAACTGGGCAAATCTCCTTTGGCAGCTTAAATTAATCGATCGCCGGAGACATGACCAATACTACAAATCTACAATGGTAGTAGCCACAGCTAAAATTTTCTGCCAGAGGAGTATCCGCCCAGTCTTTCATTCATA